TTTGTTTAACATTTAAATGCTTCCACTGGCTCAGATTATAAAACACACAAATATTACCATAATTATGCAGATGACTCACAGATTTACAAACCATTTCACCAGGGGACTATGATCCCATACAGGCACTGAGTGACTGTATTGAGCAGTACTGTATTGAACAGGGATTTCTTTTAAATACTTTTACCTCATTATTTGAAGCTTTGGTTATGTTTAACATGAACATCTGACATTGTAACATTATACAAATGCCAGTTTTCTTCAATTGAACAAAGATAAAACTGAAGTTATTGTTTTGTGATTGAAAGTCAGTGCTCAGCTTCAATCGGTAATGTTAAGAACCACAAACCAAGCCAGAAATCTTGGTGTAGTCATGGACTCTCATACTATCACCTGAAGAATATATCAAGGATTAGAGGACTTGGAGAAACTTTTCCATGCATTTATCTTCAGTCTACTCGACAACTGTAACGGTGTCCTTACAGGGCTCCCTAAGAAATCCATTAGACAGCTGCAGTTGATTCAGAACGCTTCTGCTTGAGTCCTCACTAAGACCAAAAAGTGGATCACATCACTCCAGTTCTGAGGTCTTTACATTGGCTTCCTGTATGTCAAAGAATTGATTTCAAAATCCTGGTTAGTTTATAAGCACTAAATGGTTTAGGGCAAAATACATTTCTGATCTTCTGCTTCGTTATGAACCATCCAGACCTCTCAGGTCATCTGGGGCAGGTTTGCTTTCTGTCCAGAGTCAAAACTAAACATGGAGAAGCGTTCAGTTATTATGCTCCGTATATCTGGAACAAACTCCCAGATAACTGCAGGTCTGCTGAAATTGTCAGTTTTAAATTAAGACTGAAGACTTTTCTTTTACCACTGTTTTAATTCAATTAAATTAAAGTGGTAGATTGGTACCTTGGTACCTTTCACTGCACTGTAATGTCCAGTTTTCTTTTTCTTTGTTTTTAGATTTTCAGTGCCCTGATTGTACACTGCACTCTAACTTTTACTGTCCTGTTTTACCCTGTTTTTTATCCTGGTTTTATAATGTGTTTTATTTTTTCAATTTTCCTGTGTTGCTTTTATGTCTGATTTAAAGCACTTTGAGTTGCCTTGTTGTTGAAATGTGCAATACAAATAAACTTGCCTTGCCTTGCCTTACCAGGGGCGAGTACAGCGGCGACAAAATGTACCAAGGAAAACAAGTCGTTCAATCTGAAAACATTGCAAACCAGTGCAAAACGTTTTGAGATTGAAGGTTGCCACAGGGTTGGGGCTGCATGTTCCTTTGTGGCGTGGGCAGCATTCTCTGCCTGGAGCAAATGACATATATGGAAATCCAGCTCGGAATGACATCATTCTGAGCCGTTGGTAGAAAAAAACTGTTTAAAACAGAGCATTCAGAACAGGGGGATTTCTGAGGTTTTGGCTAACAGGGATTTCTTTTAAATACTTTTACCTCATTTGAAGCTTTGGTTATGTTTAACATGAACATCTGAGTTTGTAACATTATAGAAATGCCACAAAATATGAAAAAGCATAATTGGTCCCCTTCAAGTTAAACCTGCTTTCATATGCCCAATTGTGAGCAGCACATTAGCAAACAATCACGTATTTACATTTTGAGCTGACACGGAGCAACATTTGGAGATATGTTTATGTCCACCAGACAATTGTAAGTCCAACATTTGTTCTATTTTTAGCTCTGGTTTTGGTCTCCACCATCCCCTGAGGGAAATATCTGGCTCTTTAGCTACTAAATGATCCACTGTGTTCACAAGCTAGTTGCTAATTTTGCCTGTCTTCTGTTCAGTGCTGGGCAGTTAATTTTTTATCAGAACATTTTAATGAACAGCTGCTGGTTGCGGCTGAAAAACAACACTGCAGTGAGAGTGAACTAAAACAGTAAAGGCTGGAACAACAAGCAACAACAAGATCTCAGCTTAGGCGATAATGCTGAGGGAGCAATAGCAATTCAATCTGCTTTAACTTAGCAACTTTAAACTTAAAAGAAACCTTGAACTGTATTGTACAAAAGAATACAGCCTAATTTATGTAGTGAATCACAGCTAATTTACAAAGGCAAAGGCCTACATACAACATGGCATATTTTACCTGACGTTTATCAAAATCTGCAGCGATAGATTTTACTGCAATGAGCATGTAGGGAGGCTTAGTAGACCCTTTACTTCCTCCTCCTTCTTCTTTGTCTGCTCCTATGATGTGACATTTCTCTGGCTGGTCTATGAGCAGCTTAAAGTCTCTGTTATCCTTTTCTTCAGATAGCCTTCAAAGTCAAATGGTGGCATTGTGGGAAGGGCCTTGCAAGCCGCCTTAGTCGGCACAACATTTTTCCGTCGCAACGTGGATTTCCCCTTTGATTTGACCTGAGGTTTGGACTTGGCCTGAGGAGGTTTAGACTTGTCCTGGGGCTTGCAGAGAGGCAGCTGTGGCTCTGAAGGTCTGGAGTGAACTGGTAATCAGGAGAAATGATATAATTGATATAATGATTATAACATGTAAATGTCATCTTAATGAGCAAATGTATCAATGTATCTGCAAAAATGCTTCTCGGAACATCAAAGTAATAAACAGAAATATGAAAGCGAAAAAACACGACATAGAAAAATAGTATCCTCATTTCTGTTTATATTGTTTCACTTTGTTAATCTCTTCATGGTTCATGATGAAATGTGTGCCTCTGTGAATCAGCACAGATGGACAATCACACAAACATAAACACAAACATACTGTGTGTACATACATTAATGCACTCTGCATGTACATACAGCACACAGAGCATCATATACTTATATGGGATGTGAACTTCCCTAATCTTATAAATAAGGGCCAGACTAACAAATTGTCATTATTATTAACTTGAATTAGATCAGGTCATACCACTGGAGACTCCGGGATTACTTTGGCCCCACTGGCGCCCAGTAGGGTCCTGCTGGAGCTGGTAGAGCCATGAACTTCTAGCTTCCACACAGGTCTGTCCCACCCAGAGGAGAGCACAACCTGGAAAACATGGGTGGGATTTGATGGAACATGGTAAGAGGAAGTACTTTTCAAGAAGGAGGGGGTTATATTGTCTAGAAATGTACAAAATCTTGATCTAACCCTTCCTATGCTGTGAGTGGTTCCATCCTCACCTGGCGTGCATAGAGCAGCAGACAGAATAGTATCAGTAGCAGCATCGTGCAAATCACATCTCCCTTCACGTGGAGGATCCTCCTCATGGTCACCATCTTCCTCAGCATCTTCTGAAGACACATACTTCAGCTTGGTATTGAACAGGAATGCACTGGAAAGGGGCCGCTGCAGTTCATGCTGCTTTTCAGACAGCTGTTGAGACCAATCCACAGCTAGGAGACAATTTGGGTTTGCAGGCTGATCCTCTATTTGATGAAGATATGTGGTGATTTTCCTTGCTGCTCTTTACTGCAGTGCTAAATATCACCTCAAACTGTATCCTGTAAAAATACATCCCTGCTGTTCTTTTTTCTCTTAGTGGTCAGGCATGTACTGTTGCACTGGGTGAAAAGTAACTAAGAGTGAGTTGGTCCTGTATCACTCATATCAGTGGATGGCCATCTTGTCTGTCTCCATCCTCCCCTTCTTCTAAGGGCACCAAATGGGCGGGGGCATTCTAGACAACACCAACAACAAAACATCAACAATCAGGGATCAAACAGGGACAACAGGCAGGAAATAACTGGGAATTGCAATGTAACACAATTTACATCAACTTTGGTGCTTCTTTTTACAATGAGGATATTGCCACTTGTCCTTTCCTCCATTATTTTGCTCTACTAAGGAAGATAAACTGGCCTGGTTGTCTACTTTGAAGCCCTCTCTCATCTTGTGCAATGCAATAAAATAATCTCCCTTTGTGGCATAAATCAATTCAGCAGATTCTTCTTAAATATGTCCCTGTGGCAAAAAAAAGGGCAAATATGATGCAGTGTAGAGAAGAATAGACACTCAAATCATCTACTTTCCCATCCACAGTGCTTATTTACTTCTCAACAGCATGGTTTTGGTAATTTGGAGGTCACACAGATATTAGCATCTTTGTTAAAACTGGTTACATTTGGTTGAATAGTGAATAGTTGAACATAGGGCCTGCAGCTGGTCAAAGTAGTAACTCCTTGAGGACAAACATGTCATGAATTTAAAGTAATACAATATGCTATTGCTTGCTGATCAAGTAGCAAATCTCTAATATGTAATATGTGTGTATATTTCTTGAGTCACATACCGATTCAAAACTTCTTTTAGGAGGGGGAGGGTTTTATGTAAGTAAACATGATGAGGGTAGCTACCAACTATTTCTTCAAAGAACACCGTGTCCCAACATTCATATCCCTGAAAGTCACCCATTATTGCTGACATAGAAAATTTGCTTTTGTATATATGTTACAGTTTAATCAGCTCTTTGACTCTGTCACAGAGCACAAATTCCAGACAAGCGCGACCGATACTGTCGCAAACCTCTCGCGCAATTAACACAGAAACAGAAAGCAGGCTGAACCAATATCTCAATATATATATATATATATATATTCCGCATATCGTGCAGTAGCCTATCAACAACAAGCCTGGCTTTATAATCATAATACGTGTGAAATGTCCCCTCATTAATGTAAATCATTCATACTTACCAGGCAAGACAGAGGAGGAGGTCAAAGTGAAAACATCTGTGCCGTGGATGCCTGAAAGTGCAACACAGACAGGCTCAACTCTGCACACGAACACACAGAGGAAACTGATTTCCAGTTTCCAAAGACAGCGATCCAGTGAAAAGAGAGGAGAGGGCTGTCCAGATGCTGTATTCATGAGTCTGCGAGGTAGGACAGAAGAGTTTTCCTGGCGCTGAGCCCGTGTGTATGAGCTGCGCTCATGGTTGCCTTCAAGTGCTGTGGGAAATATCTCTACTATCAACGAAATGTGTTGAAAAGTACAAATTCATTTTTGAAAACATTACAGTTAATGAGTTTTCTTCATATGGGCTCAGATATTCAGGAAATACTAATACTGCTTGTTGTCAGTTTTAACGTCTGTGTAAAACAGGTGAGAAAAGTGACTTTTGTTACCACAACCAACATTGTGAACAATTATGAGCAATTATAAAATAGGAATACATTTATTCATTTAGCTGACGCTTTTATCCAAAGCGACTTACAATTGCTATATATGTCAGAGGTCGCACGCCTCTGGAGCAACTAGGGGTTAAGTGTCTCACAGTGGATGCAAACCCGGGTCTCACACACCAAAGGCATGTGTCTTATCCACTGCACCATCACCACGCCAACATACACACACACACACACACACACACACACATATATATATATATATAAATCGATTTGATAAATCACAAATCACATAATTTTGATATAAATCACAAAAGTCGTATCTTGCCTGACAAATATTTGAATTTGAATTCCCCACTGTTACCTCATTAGTCTGTCAATCCAAAGTAGGTTGCTAGATGTAGCTACTAGATATGAGACTATGCGCTGGTAGCCAGAAGAGGGAGCTAACGAAGAGCATCTGAACGCAGCATCTTCATGCTTCAAACTGACCACGTGACGTAAACTCGCGCAAAGCAACTTCACGCCAGATGCCAACACAGCAACTGGGGAGGATGGTAGCAGAAGAAAGAAAAGAGAGGAGAGACTTTTGTAAACACCCTCCAGAATAATAAGCAGCCCAGCCTACATTGCTGATGTATGTCCAAAAACTGGAAGCAATGTCCCATCACTTTAAGCTCATACTGTGCCGCCAGGCTTTGTTCTCTTGCAGAACTTGATCTTACATTTTAGATGGGATCCATAAGTTTCCAAAAACACCACATTAATGTTTTTTATTTAAAGTTATACAAAATGATTAATATTAACTTTATTCCCCTTTCTTTTCACCGTTATGTGCTGCTGTCTTTGAGAAGAGGCGTATGTGGTAGAAAACTGGACTCTTACAACACCAGATACTTTTCAAATACACACTAATTCTAACTTCCATGTTCAAATCCATCAGCGGTACACTCAGAATAAACAGCTGAGCGAGCCAACTTGTCTGAGAATGACATCATGCCCTTATAAAACTGCAACAATAACGGTTACACAACCTTTTAAAACACATGTTCATTTAGTGATGGTTTCTGCAAACTTACATTTACAATCTCTGTGTACAATCTACAAAAGGTAAACAAGTTCAACACACAGTACTGGTCCTATGTGACATTCATTAATTTAAAAGAGTTTTCTTTGGCTACAAACAGCACACAAACACACAACAGCTGGGAGCAGAGACCTGAGTCTGAGCGACCTGACACACAACTATCAGGGCCACCAGTGACTTCCAATGGCACGACTGTCTGGCAGGAAGCTGCTGTCTGTCTTGCTCCAGCTGTGCTCTCTCTAAACATCACTGCATCAGCTGAATTAAACAGTTCAGGATGCTGATCCAGCAGCTAGTCATTTTCTCTAAACCCTCGTGTCTTTGGGGAAAACAGTTTGGATGACTTTTCTGAAGTTTAAACATCTCTTAGACACATGTGCAACATCACCCGGGAACCCCTCTAGTATGTTCATCGGACATTAGGCTTAACTCTTTCTTTCTTAACTCTTAAGTACTGATTCTATCACACTATATGTGAGCGTGTAACTGGAGAAAAACACAAACTTTGTTTTGCACGAGTTTCAGACAGCAGCAATATGTTGAATATTTCCGATCAAATAATTAAATTTTCTCACTGTACTGAGGCCATCTTTGTTCTGTTGCATTGGAGAATCAGTATGGGGAGCGTCGCAGCTCTTGTGTCGCTCTTGCCTGCTGACTCCTACATTCATATTGACAATTATCTACCTAAGCTGTAACTGCACTAAATCAAGCTCTTCCAAACAGCCACACAGCTAGACTGAGATGGATGATTACCAGTGCACTAAGCCTGTGGTGAGCGTTTTATTTCCGTGAGCTAGCAGTAAAAGTATTATGGAGCTGGTGCCAAATGTTGCTGCCAGGCTGTTGCTTATTCCTAAATCATGGAAAAAGATAGATTAAGGCTACAACGGCGTCCCCAAATCACAGTCTTAGTGTCTTCTGCCTTTCATTTCAAAATGTTCATCTCACTGGTGAGACACCCTTGCTGGTGCAGTGTTTAAAACAGGCGAAGTTCATTCAACATGACAGTACTGATCAGTTGTGCTTGTGACCGTCGTTCTCATTCCAATCCGTTTGTCCATTTCTGCATTCCCGCTGCCTCTACTCTCAGGAGGATGCAGTGCCAGCTCTCATGATCCTGAAGAGTGCATTGACGTTATTGCTCTTGATAGCGTCTCGACAGGCAGAGATCACTTGGTTCTTGGGCTTACCCACTGAAGACAAGGGGGAGCAGTGACAGACAGATTAATATGAGGAGACGAGACAGGTATGCAAGATGTAACAACACATAACACACATTTACTGTTGATTTTGTAGGTTAGCCTGTTGAACTTGGCGTTAAGAAGTTGTGGGGCACAGGCTGTGCGATGTGAACTAATGTTGTAATATTGAGGGACAGTCAAGAGAAAGTGTGTGAATGTTAAGTCTCATTTGAAGTCTAGATCTAACATCCCCCTCTCATTGACCAAATGGTCAAAGAGTAGGTAGAATTTCAGTCGACCAAGATTTATTTGGTTGACTACATCCCTAGATCTCCCTACATAGTACATACTTTGTTATTACTGTTGAATACATATTATTGATGTTACTTGCATCACTGTCATGGACAAAATAAATGTTTTAATGGCTGAATGTGAGTAATTTGCAGAAATTTGCTTGTTAATGTTTTAAAGCAATATGTTTTTAACCAGAGGTTGTGCCAGTTCCACTACAGTCCAGCCACATCTAAAGAAGACAGCATAAAAAAATGGCAACATGTCATGTCATGAGTGTTGTTTCCCTGCTAAGACGAAACTCTTTTCATACCTAATACGCTACATATTGTTACCAAAAAAGGTTGTTTCCAGCCATACTCAAGTACTCTCCAAAGCATTAAACTGGCTTAAACCATGTTAATAATATGATTTAACAAACAGACTGCTTTTTGTGACCAGACAGTGCATAAACACAGATATTTCACATTCTTTGCAAGCACTCTAACAGTGCTGTGATTTAAATAAATTAAATTAAAAAATATATATGTAGTCCCTTACCCACATCAGCAAAGCTTTTAATATTCACTAATGTGCAAAAGCTTTGGAGCTAAATAAATTTGTGCTGGCAAAGACTTGAGAGAAGAAACATACCTGAATCCAGGTACACACATGCACTACATTCCAAAAAACTACCCACCTACAATAATATTGATTGTCCCAGACAATCCCTGACTTGCACATCCACTCTCTCCTACACAACAGGCTTGACTTAAAGCCAGCCAGCCAGCCCACATACAATACTGTTGTGAAGGAATTGTGGTTTTTACAGTGTATCTTACACATACACATGCACTCACACGCACACACACAGTGGCCTACCTCTGAGTCTACCAGCCCGCTGTATGGCCTGGTTGACAGACTTGAGGCAGGCCAGTAGTGCATTGTGGTTGTTAGAGCGGATTTTATACTCGTTGATCAGATCTCTGTTTAGGTCGTACAGCTCTCTGTAACGCTTCTTTGTAGTTGTCCTACAGAGGGCAAGAGAGAAAATCAGAGAGAAAGTATTGGGAAGAGAGGGAGAGAAAGATGAAGAGTGAGTTGGTCCTACGTTAAAAAAAGACTATATATATCAGTCTTATCAACTTATGGTGAAATATATGCTTAACATTATAACCTTCATGAAGGTAGGAAGACTGCTGCATTAGTTTTAGCCAGATACATAATGAACTGGCAACTATTTGTATGTGTTCTTCATGTTTTTGATAACAATTGCTCTTTTGTTTCAGAAGTCAGTAGTTAGAGTTTTTGCAATCCAATCGACCGTGTTCACAGCAGACATCTGGAATTATCATAGTGGAAAAAGCCCAGTAACATGATGCAGTAATGATGCCGCTCTCTTTTTGATGCTCTTAAACAAGCTGGCACAATACCACGGCTCTGTAAGTGGCTGACCTAAATGGCATCCAACCATCAGAAATGTTATTTCAATTATTCTCAAGCGCCCTGGTACATTTTTCAGATCAGAACTCAAATTCTCAAAACTACATGTTCAACCTCCACATCGTCTCGTCACTTGTGAACATCATAAAAGCAATTTCTCATACTTTTGAACAAAATGCTTTGACACATTTATGCAACTGATTATGTACAACTGTCTGCTGTTTCCTCTATTTCTCAGTTGCTTATGTCATGTTGATTACAATGTTTTATACTGGTTCTCTTATCATTGCTTAGACCAAGACAGTCAAAATGCAAAGACATCTTGTCAAATGACAGACAGTGCACTCTCAAAGGTTGATAACTACCCACTATGTAATACTGTCCAATTGCTAACATTGTATTCTTAGGCAGCTGACTTGATGCCAGCCATGGCACACACTATACTTTCAACAAAACATTTATTTGACGACACTGTGGACCGGCCCAGATTAGGTTGCACTCTTCGACCAGCCTCTGTCTTACTTAGTTGATTACATGGTCTGTAATTTTTGCCTGTATCTCAGCCTTTCTCAGGCTCTTCGTCATCCTCTGTGCCCCCCTCTCCTCCTCACCATACCTCTTGCACAGGCAGACTCTTGTCACCGTCTGTCTCTGCATGCTCAATATTCCACAGCTATAACACTGAGTCTTACCCTTGCAGTATGCTGTAAATTGAACAGCAGTTGCGTTTGGTTGCGCTAAGTTGTGAGGAAATTAAATTGTTCCCCATCTAGCCTGAGTCTTCCTGACAACTTTAACAACACT